TGAAACAAACCACGGAACAGCCATGTAATGCAGTATTATGTCCATAAGACACTGGATCCAGTCTCTTTGTTGTCGACCAAACCTGGCTCTGTCTAAAACAGAGGGGGAAGTGGAAAGTACTGCCTTAGGAATAATCTGGGTCTGATCCAGGACTGGCCAGTTCTGTTCACACCCTCACTGCTGTGGCTATGGAGACAGGACCCAGACTGGGTCAAGCCCGTGCTGTCCTGGTTATGGGTCCTGGTGGAACAGGCCCTGCCACAGAGGCAAGCAAAAGAAGCTGCAGGGGCAACACAGCTGTGCAGCAACAGAAACAAAGCCAACCATGATGTGAGCACAGACTGAGCGGCGCTCCTCTACCACCCACCCCCAGCTCTGCCTCTGCCTTCACAAGGCACACACGTGGATTCTGAAAGGCTTGTGGCTCCTCCACATAGTAAACACTTCCTCCATTCTGCAAGTCACAAAAGCCAGTTATCCATACGGTGTGGATCCATTTCTGGACTCTGTTTTATTCAATTGCTCTGTGTAGATTTGTACTACAAGCATACTGTCTACTATCACCTTTATGGGTCTTAAATTCAAATCTTTAAAGTCCTGTAATTGTTTTGGCTATTTGTATATGATTTTCAGAATCACTCCAAAAAAGGTTATGGTATTGCATTGGCTCTGTATTGGGCAAACAGAAATCTTAGTAGTTTGTCTTCCAATTAATGAGCATGATATGTCTCTCCATTTACAGTGATACCTTAGTTGTCAAACTCAATTTATTCTGAATTTATGTTGAAATACTGAAAAGTTCAAGAACTGAACATGTTTTTCCCATAATAATGGAAAACCAAATAACTGGTTCTGAAATCCCAAATTACACGTATAAATTCATTTTTCCAGGACTTCAGCAAATTTCACAATGATTTCTTTCCTTATCGTGATCCTCAGTTTTCCTCTCAGCTTAACTGCTGCTATCACTGACTTTCTTTGGAGCCATGGTTACGATATTCTATGTTAAAGTGTAAAAAAAAGCACAACGATGACCATTTGGGCACAATGATACACGTACTCCATGCTGTCTGGGCGAGGGCAGCAATTACACTGACGTGTCACCCGTGTCTGCAGTGAGGCAAGATGCGCCACTCAGGATTTTTCCAGAACAGGATTTTTTAAGTTAGATTTTCAGTTCAATTGTCATACAAAATGAGTAACACTGAGCCGATGTTTTTTACCTTTGCTGTCAGAGTAGTGCAAAGTTCAAGTTTGGAGCTGCTTGTCAACCAAGGTATCACTGTATTTGGGTTTCAGAGAAATATTTTCCTGTTTTTAACATATAGACCTTTCATTCTTTTTTGAGACTTACTCCCAAGTATTTTGTATCTGGCTACTTCTGTAAATAGTATTGACTTTAATATAAATTTCCAATTGTATATAGAAATAACAATTTTATTTAAAAAAAATTTTTTTTTTGTCTTTTTGAGACAGGGTCTCACTATGCAGTTCAGGCTGGCCTTGAACTTGCAACAATCTGCCTGCTTCAGCCTTCCAAGTGATGGGATTACAGGCATGTGCCACCAGCCACCACCCCCGGCCAGAAATAACAATTTTAGTATCTAAAATACCACTGATTTTTGTATATTTATTTTGTATCCTACATTCTTACTCAATTCACTTAATAGCTATAGAAGCTTTTAAAAAGATGTCACAAGCTGGGCGTGGCTGCCCACGCCTGTAATCCCAGTACTTGAGAGGCTGAGGCAGGAGGATGGTTGCAAGTTTGAGATCAGCTAGAGCTACAAAGTGAGCTCAAAGCCAGCCTGAACTACACAGCAAGACCCTGTCTCAAAACAAAACAAAAAAAAAATTAACATTATCCTCACAGACTACGATTTCCTTAAATAAAAACTTTACTCATTCCTTTCCAATATGGATGCCTTCCAATTTTTTTTTTTTTTGTCTTTTTGAGACAGGGTCTCACTATGCAGTTCAGGCTGGCCTTGAACTCCCAACGATCCTCCTGCCTCAGCCTCCCAGAGTGGGATCACAGGCATGCGCCACCACACCCAGCTCAATTTTTTTTCTTGCTTTATCCATCTGCTAGAGGTTAGGACTACTCATGCCTCCCCACCCTCCCAATCCTTTAAACACAGCCAAAGTAGGATCAGCATTCTGCCCAGCCCTTTGGCCAACAGTCTGAGCTACCCAAATACGTGATGCTCCGAGAAGGCTCAAGAACTTGCTGGACACTCTGGTGCTCAAGTCGCAAACAGTGACCGGGCACTGGAGCTGTGTCCTGGGTATGGGAGCTGCTGAATGGGACTTCCCAGTCTCACTACAGAATTTGGGATCTTCCTGCATGGTGGGTAGTGTTAGGGAAAAATGAGATGTTAGACAGTGACACAGAAACAGAGGAAAATGGAATTAAGAGTGAAAATACCCAGAGAACAGCATCAAGCAAACTTAAACAGTTAAATTTTATTTATCTGGAAGATGAGTTAAATTCACTGCTGGTAGCTGGAGCCTGAGGCTGCACTTTTTCCTTAGGAGGGCTGGAATGAGGTGGGCTGTGTTTGGCAGAGGCTGTGGTTTGGAATCTGGTTAGACGAGCAGAATCAGAGGAGCATAATTAGTTTTCCAAGACTGTGGCACCCCTCATACCTGCCTCATACTTGCTGCCTATGTGTCCTCTTCAGCTCTGTGTCCATCATCCCTGACCCCCAGGTAGCCCCCATTTTTGTCCGCCATCTCTCACCTGCTTGGTTCCCCAGCTGGGCCTCAGGCCGGTCGCCCCAGAGCACATGCTTGGGATCGTTGAGGAACCGCTGGCTGCGCTGGCACGTGAGGCAGGTCTGTACCGTCCAGCGCTGTCCCCTGCGGCCTGGGGTGAAGGTGGGGAAAAAGGAAGAGAGTTAGGGGCTGGGGATTTAGCTCAGCGGCAAAGCGCCTGCCTGGCAAGCGCAAGGTCGTGGGTTCGGTTCCCGGTACCGGAGAAAAACAAAAAAAAAAAAAAAAAAAAAAAAAAAAGAGAGTGAGGCTTATGAGAGGAAAAGGCCTTCTGCAGCCGGCTGTGCAGGACAGAATCCCCCGGCGATCCTCAGCCCGCGCAGAGCTCCTCTGCTCACTCGTTTATCATGAACCTCACCACCGCCTCCCGAGACACTGCACCCCACTTCCCCCACTGAACAGCTTTTCTCCGCTGCTGTTCTCTTAGTCTGTCCATCGGCTGCCACTTCACTGTGACGATGAATCGAGCACTTGGCACGCGGTAGAGACACTGGCTGCGCGAATGAACGAAGGGCGTGGGGATCGCGCCCTATGCGACACAGAGCCGCCCCGCAAGCCCGCGCCTCCCGCAGCCCAGCCCGCGCGGCGCTCACGTCGCTGGCGCTGCGTGCAGGTGAGGCCCGGGACGAGCGGCGACGAGCAGCCGCGGCACAGCGTCCTCTTCACCGAGGGGTCCCTGCGGAGGGAGGGCCAGGTGTGGGCGCGCGCCTCCCCGCCCGCCCCCGCCCGGCCCGCGCGGCCTCACTGTCGCAGCACGAGTCGCTTCGCTATGGTCCTCTCCGTGTGGCAGTAAAACCTCGCCAGCGCCTGGTTCTCGGGGTCCTGGGCGAGGACGCAGTGGGCGGCCTGGGGGCGGGAGGCGGTCACTCCGCGGCCCGCCGCGCCGGGACCTCCTCCCCCGCGGCACCGAGCGCTCACCTGGTACAGGAAGCTCAGCCTCTGGAAGGCCTCGCGGTCCTTCACCGGGCCCGCCATGGACATCGCCCGTCCTCGGCGGCCACGCCCCCGACCCGCGCGGGTCCTCCTGGGAAGTGTAGTCTGGGTCCGGGGCCTCACTGACGCCGGCTTGTAAACCCCGCCCTCGGGGCCTCACTGGCACCCTGCCTACAAGCCCCGCCTCCACGCAAGGATTCGTGGAAAGCGTAGGGTCCGGACCCGAGGCCTCACTGGCCCGGCCTGCAAACCACGCCTCCTGCGCGAGGCCTCCTGGGAAGTGTAGTGCCTTGGCCCGTGACCTCTTCTAAGCCTGCTTGTAAACCCCGCCCGAGCGCGCATTTATGAGTTTGGATTCCTTCCTGTTGTCCTTAAATCCATGATCATATAAACTATATAAAGACTGGAGAGGCTAGTGGAGGAATGCATGTTAAAACGGCTAAACATTCTCAGGAAAAAAAGTCTGGTTTCTCCAGGCAGATATGCTGGGGAGGCGGTTACGCCCCCTTTACAATCAGGTAGACCTTCAGCCCTGCTCTTCTGACGCCAAAGGCAGGTTGCCCGAGGATCTACGGACCGAAAGAACAGTCAGTATACAATAAAAGAAACAAAACAAAGAAAGCGCTGCTGCCTAGGGTGGTGTAAGGGGAAGGGTCTTGAGGGTGGGAGAGGGGGAGGGCTTGTCGACCTCAGAAAACAGAGCTTACTCCCACTCTGCACTTACCAGAGACCCGCTCGCGGTTACCGTGCTGAACACAGCAGCGGACCCTTCACCTTGCTAAGTGAATAGTTTCCAGCTCCTAGCCTTAGGTACAGCACAGAAACCCGTCAAGGGCAAGCCCTGTTCCGGGCCGCAGACCATGCCACAGCCGTCCACGCAGCTCGCTCTCCTCTGACCTCTTGTCTCCTGTTTCTTCTGTCATTCTGCTAACGACTAGCAGTTCGGAGGTCAGAAGCAGAGGGACGCCAGCTGGAAGGGCTGAACAGGACTAAACTCTGAGACAGGGCAGCCTAAGTCGGAAGAGGGAGTGACCTCCTCTCTCAGAACCCTGTCAGGCTGGGCAGAGAACCAGGCCTGAGGCTCTGAGGAAGGAAATGAGCAGAAACTTCCTCTGGGTTGTTTCACAAAGGTCCTCACACTCGACCAGGAGTGGGTTTTTAAATCAGATTTTTGCAGGCCAACCCAGACCTGGTTCAAGTAGGGGTGAGAGCCAGGAATATGAATTTTTCACACTCAGTGATCCTGCATGGCAACGTAAGGAAGATCAACAAATCACCACACCACACAGAGGTCACGTCAGTGGATCCTTTGCTCCATATTACTTTTACCAGCCAAAGCCTCCTGCCACAAAGAACCACAGTCAAGGCACAAAGGTTAGAAGAGAGGACACAGTCCTTTGAGGTGGTAGGAGGAACCGAAATGCCCGCAGTTCACTGCAGTTTCTTGTCTTCTGTGAAGCTTACTCAAGCAGCAGACAATCCAGGTTGTTTTAGTTTGGTTTGCATGCATCGCTTTACCTTGACGACATAGGTACCTTACAGGTTTGTTTTGGCCTAACGTTAAAATGACGTACATTCTCTGAAAGGGGAGATGGCAAAGGGTGTAGGATGGCGACACACACGTGAAAGGCTATTATGAACATGAGTTCCAGGTCAGATGCACAGGCAAAAGGAAGTTGCCTGTCTGGCCCTTCCCGACACACATCACCCACTTCTACCCTGTCCTCAGGGTAAGAAAGACTCCATTACCTTTCTTCCCCTTTGCATTGGACACCTGAGCCAGGTGACAAAGCTGACAATTTGGGAGCAGCAACTAGGTAACAATTTTAAGGCCAGAGCTCCGGGTAGATAACCTTTCTCTCTCCTCTAATACCCCACTCTTCTCCAAGCTCCCATGGGAGAACAGTGGGTAGGTGGTCGTGTCTTGCAGGGTCTCTCCCACCTCACCTCTGAGAGGAGAAAGGTGAACAACTCCTTGAGACAACGGAGGAGGCAGGTGAGCCAGCTCTGCTAAAGGGCCTGGCTGCTTCCTTCTCCTACCCGCTCCTTCTCCCCACATCACCTCTGGCCAATCCTACTCATTACGGCTACCTTACCCTGGGAACAGGAGACTAAAGAGACCTCCCTCCCCGCTCCTTAGTTTCTAGGAATCTGTTCCTTTAGCTCTCTTCCCTGATCTTTCTTCTAACCTTCATAATGCATGGACTCTGCCCCCAGATAGACTCAGCTTCCAGACTGAGGACAGTAACTGTCATTCATCCTTTTTCCACCTGGAGGTACAAAGACCCCTGTAGTTTTCCTCAAGAAACGAGATCATCTGGGTCAAGGAAGCCCCTAGAGGTTTGCTTCCTCCTCTGGCTTCGGCAAAATGAGACCCTCCCATAGCCTTTGTTTCTGGACAAGCCTCTGCTTTCTTCCCAACTTGTCTTTGTGCAATTAGAAAACCTGATGGACGTTGGGGAGGTCATCCCCGGGGACCAGCTCCCCACCCTGACAGCAAGGAGGGAGACACAGCCATGCTCTGTCATGCAGCCCAGTCCTACGTACTTCTCCACGGAAACCACCCTAGAGACCAGAGTGCTTCTCCAAGATGACTCAGGACTGGAGCCCGGCGACGCTGAGACGTTCCAACAGGACGCAGCCCACAGCTCTTGACCCTGCCTTACCCCACTGGAGCCCACGTCCCACCCCGTCACTCCCAGTCTGTTGGGGGCCTGATGGTCAGTGGTGCAGCATTCTTCCGCCCAGCCCTGATGCCTGGGTAGAAGAGAGGCCAAAGTTTTTCAGTAAAAGTATCAGTGAATGTGTAGATATGTGAGCGGTCTGTGACGTTATAAAAAGACAGTGTGCCAGCCTCATAGTCTAGAAATATGCCCACCCGCTTGGGTTTCACCTTGATGTGCAAAGGGGTGAAGGGCGTTGTGGTGGCTGCATACTTGTCCCCGTTCCACAGCCGGACCCGCCAGTAGCCAGTCTCGGGAAGTGGAGTCAATTCGCCCTTCCGGCTCACGGAGTCCCGGCACACGCCCACTGCCCAGTGGGTCTTGTCGCCCACTTCCACCTCCCAGTAGTGCCGGCCTGAGGTGAAGCCTTCAGTAGCTAGGACGCAAGGGTAGAAGGTGAACCGCCGCGGCGTATCGGGCAGATCTCGGAGTCTGGTCTCCACAAACTTGACGCTCTTACGATCCTCCGACAGGACTAGGTTAGGATGGGCGGTCTCAGGGTCCAGGGTCACATCCGCTGGCGGGAGAAGCCAGAGTGGGGAGCTAGATGAGGATGGGAATAGCTAAAGCCCCTGCCTCACCTTTCCAGCCTGCCTTACAGAGCCTGGTTCCTTCAAGGTCCCAGAACAGCGGGTGGGTTGGTGAAGGGGAGGGAAAGGCTGCTTTGTGCCCCACTGACCCACACTAAACAATGGTCTCTGGACTTTGCAGGGCTGGTAGTCCTGGCTCCGCCCCCACCCCTCCCCGTCCTGCACCATCCTCATCTCGATGCGTGGAGAGCTGGGGGCACGGTCCCAGATGTGTCTGTCTCCTGGGAATCTCCTTGGTTTATGACTGTTTTCCCCTCATAAACATTAGTGGGACTCCCTCTCACTCCCAAGGCTGTCCCAGCTGAGACAGTAAATGAGACGTCACCCCGCAGGCTGACGCAGGTAAATGAGCCCCCTTTCTGCGTGCTGACTTAGGCAAGTGCGGACCTAATGTGGGCGACATCTGAGGCCTCTTCTGAGTTCTGGGACTCAGGCTGTGACTGAAGCCAGGTGGGGGTGGCAGGGGGAAGGGGCAGGAAACCACTGGAGGCCATGTAAGATAGGATCTGAGGATTTCTTCTCGGTCATTCCTTTTACTAGTTTTCTTCTGGGAACAACTCACCAATTAGCTGTTTAAGAATTTTCCTTAGGGCGAAGTACTGTCGGGGGAAACTGCTGAAGTTCCTCTCCAGCTCTATGGACACGGACGTCACCTCCATGGTCTTCACCTTCTCACATCTAGGAGGGATGAGGAGGGGGAAGAAAGGGCCGGGTCAGGGAGGCCAGCCAAGGGAGTGGTCAGATGCTGTGATCTTTGGGGAGAAACCAAAATTGTCTACTTCCCACTTCTTCCCGGAGACAACCCAACCGCTTTCTTTCATCCCCCAGGCAGACCTTTATCTTGAAAATGAGCTTCAGGACTTGCTGGGGGCATTCTTATCTTTCAAGCACACGGTCATCCCCTCCCTCTCTCCACCCGCTTCTCCTGCTGTCTTGTTAGGACACCATTCTATCCACAGGGACAAACAGACTCTGGCTCTATATCATCATTCTCTTACCAACCAAGGCCTGATGCTTGAGGGGAAAGGGCAAGGGATGATTACTCCTAGTGATTTGCTCTCTACTTAGCCTCACAGCGGAGAGGGCCTTTTCCTACATTCTGCCTTTCCCATGCTCACTCCTCTCAACTCGTGACTGGGTTCCTTAGTCTCTAAACCACGGCCTAACTCACTCAGAGAGAGACAATAATCACTTACTTTTCCAGGGTACTTTTGACATCCTAGAGGGAATGAGAAAAAAAGAAAGATTGGTCCTGATATTCACGGGTCCTGAAGGCAAAAGGTTCCCCTTCCTCCCCAATGTTCTAGGTCTATAAAACAGGCACAAGGCCAACGGAAAGTCACAGTGCGAGGGGAAGAGCTCCAAGGGGCCCGACTGCATTGCTTCCAGCCTAACGCTCGCTTTCGACTGCTGGTCCTCATGAAGCTTTGTAATTTACACCTCGTCCCAGTGGTTTCTGGTATGTTTGTCTATGCTTCCTGCAAGGGACAGGAATTGTGTCTGCTCTTCACTCTGTCCCCCAAGTACCAGCCACACACCTCAGCCTCCTCGAGGATCAGCACGGACAATTCCAGCCTGGTAGGACAGGAACGAACCACACTTTCCCTTTGTGGTTTGGTAGCTCCTCTCTGGCACTGGTTAACAAACATTAGTAAATGTGTGCCAACCCTGTCTCGAGAATACTTGGGGTTCAGAAGACAAAGAAGACAAATCTCTGCCCTGCGTGGATTTCCAGTTTAATGTGGAAAGCGGAACACATGTAATGAAAGGACAAAGGAATAAATACTAAACAACATAACATGCAGTGTACAGTGAAGCCTCCCTGACTCCAGGGCTGGTCTCTGAGACGAGGGGCTGCGCTCCTCGCCCCTCGCTAACATCAGGAACGTGCTTAGCAGGAAAACTCGGAACATCCTAGAGGCATCACTGACATAACAAAAACAGTATGATTTACACATAGCTTCACGCGTCCTTTAAAGTCTTCTTTATAAACACTAGATAAATCAAGTTCTAGGACTGCAAAGTAGTGGCAACTGCATTCACACTCTTAGAATGCAGTTTGCACTACGTGGATTAGACGACTTCTCAAAGGAGTCCATTTTTCCTTTGGTGCAATTCCTTCGGTACAACATAATTGCTGACAAGACATAGTAACACAAAATGATTAGAATGTTATGGGAGGAACCAGAGAAACCTTTCTGTAGGAAAAGATCCTCTGCGTCTGTCTGGAAGGACCGTGCTCTGGGAAGCAGAGGGAGCGGACGCCCTGGGCAAAGCTACACTGCGCACGCACGACCCGAGGGGCTCTGCAGGGCCCGGGGCGAACCTTAAGCATCTCGAAGCCCGACTGCAAGCACTTGCCCTCCACCTCCGCGGCCAGGTGGGCCAGGTCCCGCCGCTTGTCCCCGAGGAGGGCGGCATTCTCTCGGAGTCGCTGTAGGATGTCCTGTTCCTCCTCCTCCAGTCGAGAAAGCAAAATCTGCTGCTCTTCATCCAGCCGTCTGTGAAGCTCTTCAAACTCCTTTAAGATCTGCTGCCGGCGGCTCTCCACGAGTCTCTGCGGAGAGAGGAGGCTGGGGTCAGGCCGGCAGGGCAGGCGCCGTGGGCCCCACGCAGACCCCTGCCCTGGACACTGCAGCAGGCCGCTCCTCCTCTCTCCGGACCGCCCTCCTCAGAGTGCGATCACCCCACCGCCGGGGACAGCCTGGGAGAAGGAAGAGCAAAATTCAGTCTTTTGAAAAAGTTTTTCTTCAGTAAATTCTCAAAATGTTGTCCTTTCATGTTTTAATACAATATATCGAAGATGTAAGAGCTCATGAATGTGACAGCTACTATTACAGAGATCAGCTAGATATTTCCGCTATTCCCAACTCCAAAGTTTAGTTTATGCAATCTGTTAAGAAAAGTACAAATACCAGAAAGTTAAAGATAAGATTGTCGTTATTTGTGTAAGACTAGAAACTGGTAGAAATCAGAGAGCTGGAATATTATCAGAATCAATAAGCTTGTAATGGGTTGTTACAAAGTATAAATGTGGATTTCAGTTCTGTTAATTTCAAGTCACTTCAAAGAATCAGCAGTTCCCGTTTCAGGAACAGGTTCTGAAAATGTTAATTAATTAGTTGTTTGAAATTTGAAACACATTTTGTCTATGCTAGCACATATACTTTAACACTTTCTTTTTTTGTTTTGGTGGTGGTGGCCTGGGGATCGAACCCAGGAATCTTGCCATGAGCTGCAGCCACAGTCCTTTTTAATATTTTTTTTTAAATTTTGAGACAGGGTCTAAGTTGCTCAAGCTGGGCTTGAATTTGCTCACCTCCTGTCTCAGCCTCCAGAGTACTGCGATTACAGGCATGAGTCACCATGCCCAGCTAAGATAATATTTTCTTTTTTGTCTTTTTGAGACAGGGTCTTGCTATACAGTTCAGACTGGCCTTGATTCACTTTGTAGCCCAGGCTGGAATCGAACTTGCAAGGATCCTCCCGACTAGTATTTTCCTAAAATATTACCAGACATTACTATTTTGAAAAATCACCTCACCAAGTGGTAAGCTGCTTTCACTGTCTGAGTCACATGATCCCTCATCTGAACACTACAGCCCCGTTGATTATGTCACATAGGTAGGTCTAACCCTGCAATGACACTGTAGTCTTCCAGGGGATCATGCCCCAATACTTATACATTTTAGGATAAATTACTTCTGCAGTAATATGAAGTGGTCATGCTAGTCTCTTTAAAATTATGTGGTTATTTTGTCACAATTTTCACTTCAGCATAGTCAATTACAACTTGTATATCTTTCTGTGCTGGGGCTGAAAGGCGGGACCAGGGAAGGACTCTGCTACTGAGCTGCCCCTGCAGCCCCTACACACTGTTTTTAAAGGGGGCTCTCACTCTGATTCCGGAGGCAGGGATGAGAGTGAGGCAGGAATTCAAATGGTTACAAAATGTTTTGTGTCACAGTCTCTGAGACCACTGAAATGGTAACTTATAATGGAAAAAAAAATAGGTGTTAAGCTTTGTTAAGTTTCTGGAAGATTTTATCTCCCTTTCCACCAGTTTTTGTTTGTTTGCTTGAGACAGGGTCTCATTACACATTTCAGGCTGGCCTTGAACTCACAAGGGATCCTCCTGCCCCAGCCTCCTGAGTGCTAAGATTAAAGATGTGTGCCACCATGCCCCGCTTCCCTTTCTATACTTTACCTTCAAGAAGATGATCAAAAGAAAAAGGAAAACCAGTGACTGAGAATGAGCTCCATTTTGTACATATTTTATGTTTCTCAGGTGCCCTCCAAAAGGACAAAGAACTTTTGTTTAAAAAAGTTTATCTTTATGCCGAAGGTTAGTTCACATTTTAAAAAAATCAATCATTTGCTTCAGTAAAATAGATAAAATCCTAAAGTGATAATACTGTACCCTGCTTTCTGTTGATATATTGCCATTTATTTTTAAAAATATTAGTATTTCTACTTTGAAGCCCATATTTAACATATTGACCCTAACTCCCAACACTCATGACTTCTGGGGGCCTTTGACAAGGTCAGAGTTCTGTGTGGTCTTTGGACGTGGGGCTGGGTTTTCTGTGCCATGTCTTTCCCATTTTCTCTACTTTACGCTCGAGGAGGGCAGGGATGTGTTCCGGCTCACCTTGGTCCTCCAGTGTCAAACGCAGGGTCTGGCCTTCTCGTGGAGCTGAATAAGTATTTGCCGATTCACGAGGAATGAGTGTCCCTGGTTTTGCCACTTACTGGCTCTAAGGATCTTTGCCAGACACTTACCCAAGGCCTGTTTCTTTGTGTGAAGGGCCAGGACACCGACCTTCCACAGTACCTGTCTACCCACATCAGAGGTGGCCTCGGGGTCTTTGCCTTCTCTTGCAGCTTTCTCTACATCCCTCTTGTCCCAAGTCTAGCCTGAATTTCTAGACCTCCAACCTGGACGGAACACTAAGACTTATACAATCTTGTCAATTTGGAATGTCATGAACACCCCATAAATTAATGCCCATCAGAAGGATCATTGAGAGTTTGAGACCAGCCTGGGCTACAGAGTGAGCTCAAGGCCAGCCTGAACTGCATAGCAAGACCCTGTCTCAAAAAGACAAAAAAAAAAAAAAAAAAAAGCCAGAACTCAATACTAGTTATTATGCTTGCTACTACTACTGATTTTTATTGTCTAATAGAAGAAATAATTTAGATATCCCAATGCCATGCTACAAATAAGGTAATGCTATGAAAAAGATGTAAAATTATATGAAATTTAGGAAAGTTAATTTCTAAAGGGCCAGGAAACACTGCATAAGAAGGAACTTTTATCCCAGGAATCCCAGGTGAGAGATAGATACACAGGCAGAGAACAGGGACAGGAAGGTCATCCCAGGAATGAACCAACATAATCTACTTACTTGAGTGATGAGAATGCGGCCCTAACATTCCTGGGCAGTTCTCAAAGTTCTTGGTGAGTCCCCAGCCTTGTCCTTCCCTAGGAAGTTTCAGATAATTCTCCTCTCCTTAATGCCTCTAAGAATCTCCCACCCCTGCTTTTTTGTTTTTATTTTTGGGACAGACAGTCTTTCTATGTAGTCCAGGTTGGCCTTGAACATGCAGCAATCCTCTTGCCTCCAGTCTCCAGAGTACCAGGATTATAGGCGTGCACCATCCCTGGCCGATCCTTGCATTCTAGCAGAGACCAAGGGGCAAGATCGCCCTCAACTTACCAGAGGTAAAATACTTTATCTCTCCTTCAGCTCTTACTTCCTTATCCTCAATACTTAATTCATGACAAGTAATTTGAGTACAGTATCTACTGGCAACCAAACCTAATAAAATGTCATCACTTTTGAAAGAACACCGTATTTCTAGGCAAGTGCCTTACCACTGAGCTGCATCCCCACCAACACTATTTTTCTAAAAACTAGAACTGAATTCTTTCTGTTTTTTTTTTTTTTTTGTCTTTTTGAGACAGTCTTGCTATGCAGTTCAGGCTGGCCTTGAGCTCACTCTGTAGCCCAGGCTGGTCCTGAACTCTCAATGATCCTCCTGCCTCAGCCTCCCAAGTGCTAGGATTACAGGGGTGTGCCACCACGCCCAGCCAGAACTGGATTCATTAAATTGGTGGGTACAACGAAGTGCAACAAATTCCCTCAGGGCAAACACCCCGCAGAGCAGCTGGAACTGGACCACCTGGCTTTACCTTGAGCTCCGAGGGCTTTTTCTCCTCAGAGGACTTGCAGCGGGTGACTTCCTGCAGCTTCTGCTCCAGTGGCTCCAGGCACTTCTGCAGTTTCTCCTGTGGTAATGGGGAGTGGGAGAGGTGAGGCGTGGGCTGACGAGGAAGTCCATTGCTCAGAGGTTACTGCTTTTATCATGCTGTGGTGCTGGGGGATGGACCCAGGCCTGCTGCGCAAATTACCTTTGTCTCCGACTTCAATTCATTGTTTTGAACCGTTTGTTTCCATCCGGCCCAGTTCACTACCTTGTGATCCGACCCCTTCCCTCGCTTCTCTATCTAACCTGAGATGTTGCCTTTGTCCTCTCCACCATCAGCTCCCTGCTCACTGATTTCTTTGCTTTGAACCTGGTAGTTGTCAAGCTGCTACCAATCTGTCCTCCCCCAACTTTACCCATTTCTTATGAACTGTCAAAGCCCCCAACACTATGTTCTGGTGGTGATGCTAGGGATGGAACCCAGAGCCTTGTTCATGTAAACATATGCTCTTTCACTGAGCTACCTCTCCAGCCCAAAGCTACTCTTTGTATCCTTACATTGTATCCTTCTTTAAGGACTCCAAATCTAACTCTCACCACTTATAAATAAAATAAAAACTTGATTCCTTGTACAGTAAATTACCTTAAACCTTACTTTGAGATTTTGTTAACACAATAAAGTATGCAATAAACTAAAATCTCCAGTTTCTATCATTCAGACATTTGTGGTGTGTCTCAGCAGGAGGTGAAGCCAGATGCCACCTTGCCCGTTACCATTATTTGAGGAAGATGCTAACAAGCTGGTCCAGCTCAGCCTTGTGGGGACAGTCTGAAGTGATGTCACCTATTCCAGTACAGTGCCAGTGGGAAAACAAGGGTATCTCTAGCAGGGAGACGGAACGAGAAGCCCTAGCACTTTTCAGTGCTTCCTAAGTTTGATCTTCTCCATATGGATTCATTAATTTATGAAACATATGCTACATTCCAAGACCACACATACCAATATCTACCCATAAAATTCAAATGTGTTGCAAAACTTCTGATGCACAACCCCCCCTTCTTCTCCATGTAGAGGACAACTGACCAGCAGTACTGAGTGCTGAGTATCCCTGTATACCGCTCTGGAACTACAGTGAGGATCAGATGGCCTTGCCCTCAGGAACTTAAACCTCCTCCGCCCAGGAGGCATGCCAAGCTGCTGCTCTTCCCTTTCCCCACTTTGGCATCATCCGTCTGGTTGCCCACCTTGTACTCCTGTGTCGCATCGTCCAGTGGCACGACGGTGTGGGCCCGGTGGGTGTGGGAAATGGCACAGATCAAACACACAGCTTCCTGGTCCTCGTAGCAGAAGAGGCTGAGCGCCTCGTGGTGCTGGGGGCAGAGGCTCTCGTCCCGGATCTTCCTCTTGACGGCCTGGAGCTGCTTAGCGATTTCCACCATGCTGCCCAGCTGCCGGTTGGGCCGGAGGCTGCGGTAGCGGGACGTCTTCCGACAGACGGGACAAGGGAAGTCTCGCTCCAGGTCCTCCCACCAGCGTGTGATGCAAGCTTTGCAGAAGTTGTGTCCACACTCAATGATGACAGGCTCCTTCAGGTACTCCAGGCACACAGAGCAGCTCGCCTCCACCTGTAAGTTCTCCAGAGCCGCAGCTGTGGAGGCCGCGGAGGCCCCGGCCTCTAACAGACTCGTCTCTTCCATTATTTAACTTGCGGGTGGGAAGGAGACAGAGAAAGGAGAAATATTAGTTGAAGGCTGGGTTTTTGGTTTTTTTTTTAATCTCTGGCCTGACATTTGCCCCCGTGTTAAAGATTAACTCCAGATCTAGCCCAACTTCCTATTTTCCATCTTTTCTTCCACTAAATGCTTTGTTTCTCCATTTTTCAAACTTACTTCCCACCATCAACCTTTTTTCGTCTTCAGCAAACTCACACACAGCCCTCAAACTTGTTCTTATTCTGCTCGCTCTCAGGAACAGAGGCTTCCTTTGGCGCTAGCCTCGCCAACTTTTTCTGGCCCAGGCTCATTCAACCTCTATCTTAAACCCAATAGTTCTAGGATACTGTATCGAAGTTGGATACATTTTTTAAAATAATAAAGGAAAAAGGAGTGTGGGAAGTGAGAAGTGCCATGTAAAGCAAATACGGATTCCTTAAAGTCTAAGGTCTCAGAAGAGATCATTACAGCCCACTGGAACCTAAAGTGGAGTCTCTGCTGCCCCTCTCTTTCAAAGGGCAATGAATTCAATGAGTTAGGCAAACCATCTCTTTTCTGGAAATCTGAACCGTTTCACACGTTTCGTTTGCACTTGTGTGCACCTGGACACTTGGGATTGCTGAACACTGATAAATACACAGCAATTCTGCTAAAAAGCACACTATTGAGCCTAATTTAGGGACCGTGACTTTAGGAAGAGAGCGCAGAAAGTCTGTTTAAATACTCAGCAGCGATGGGAGTCTTCCAAAATAGCTACTGAAAACTAATTCCTTTGGACATACTGCGTCTCCAACGAACAGGTTCAGGAGTGGTGGGGATTAAAAGAAGACAGCAATCAAATCTCCCTCAGATGGAGCCTCTGATATGCATCAGATTGATTTATAAAAGAGAAGGCTGCTCTCCCACTTCATCCTGAAAACATCAACACTTCAGTCCACGAGCAAATCCATTTCTCCACGCCCATGTTCCCTTCTGCTCCTCTGGCAGGAGACCCAACCAAAGCAAGGCTGGAGGTCTATGCACTGACATGGAACTGGCCCCAGGTGAGCTGGGTTAAGGACGATCATTCCTGTATATCCGCAGCACCCGGGAGAGTGTCTAACTTGGAGCAGGAGGTGGTAGATTATGTTGGCCCGAGTGTCTTCCCGCACCATGAGGACAGCAGCGCTGTCAGATGATTTGCTCTGTCCATCTGAACCCAGCTTTGACTGGTGACTCTGCCTTTCCCAGTCTCCTCGCCGGGGATGCTCTGAGCGGCGTGCACATCTAGGGACCGGGACGGATCGAGACTGGCAAAGAGGTGGTGCGAGCGAGACGCGGGGCGGGTCAGAGGAGTGGCGCGGACTCGGAGGCTGCGGGGTGGGAGGACAGTCAAGGTGAGGCCTGGGGTGCTCGGCGGTCCTTCCGCTCCCCGGGCTCAGACGGGCGAACTTCGGGACGTCCTCATTTTGCTTGCGACCCTCTCCCGAGCGGGGCGGTCTCG